CTTCTATATATAAGTATTGTCCTCCTCAGCTCGTAGAAAAGCTGTTTGTGATGAGCTTTGGTTCATCATGTGACTTTCTCATCACCACCAGTTTTTGGTGGTTATCACTGCATTACAGTGGTTCAAAACAGATATTAGTACTTCAATATGTTGATTTATTAACATTACATCAGTTAATGGAATACGGTATTTTATTGTGAATTTAATTTAAGTCTGTAAAACCTAAAATGTTGCTACCATATTTTTTACGGTGAAGTTCTGGCAACCACAGCTGCCGGTATTTTACTGTAAATGTCACAGATTTTTTTTGTTTGTTTTTTACAGTGTACAGTAAATATGAAAAGAATTAAAAGTACATTTTAACAGTGTTACCTTCATCTACGTCCCTATTTGTTGAGTAAAGCGCACACACTTTTGACTTGAGTTTTGACTCTCTGTTTTAATGAGCAGGTGTGTGGTCAGATGGCGGCCGGCTGACGACCAATACCACACCTGATCTGTCCTTGCCTTTGAAATAGTAGTTTCGCTTTCCTCTAGTTCTCAGAAAAGATTCTTAACGGAGGCAACCTGTTCCTCTCTGCCATACAAACACTTCTGAAGTAAAACTCATACGAAGTAGTTTCACGAGCATTGTGTTCAAAATGAGTGCATTAGTGCAACTCCGTTACAAACAATTATCCATAGTTTCCGCCAAAATAGTAACAGTTATTAAAATAAAACTCCCGTGCTAATTTAAGGGTTTAGAGGTTTTAAAAAGGAAGTAAAAATATTAATACAATTATTTTATTTTAACCATAGGCCTACTGGGGAAAAAAAACTACAAAAAAAATCTAAAGATTTCATCTTTATTCAACCTAAACTCGTGTATGTTATATTGCTATGTTATTATGGCAGGTGCCACAGAATGTTGCAGAATGGAAGAGTATAGACCAGGGGTGTCGAACTCCGGTCCTGGAGAGTTCAGCTCCAACCCTAATTAAAACTCACCTGCCTGTAGCTTCCTAGTAACCCTTCTCCAAAGAGAAAGGAAAAAATGACGACTGACTGACGTCACAGCTTAATGCTCATTGGTTCAGACAACTGTGATGCTGCGGTTCTCTTCTAAAATATTAAATTTTTTAAATCTGATTTCATGTTATTATGTATTTAAATTATGCATGAATATTCTCAAACACGATGACAGTGCGATCTCTGTGTGAGATATGTGATTGTTGTCATATTTCTATAAAAATCTAAAATACATGTTTGTATTAAAGTAAAAATGGATGATAAATACACCTTTCGTATGGAATTAAATAGCAAGCACTTTGAGTGTCTTGTTCATCAGACCAATTACCGGTTTGTAAACATTCAGGATGCGCGCGCATCATGGTTGCAGAAAACCCGGGAGAGATAGCCTTTATGGCTAGAGAATTTCACGGATAGGGTACAAAATAGTTAGGTTTAAAAAGATTATAAATTATATTGATTAGATGTCATTTTAAAAATGTTCTCCGCATATTACAAGAGCTTGTCACCCAGCGATAAGCACTGTTATTCAACGAAATTGACGTTAGAGAGTGCGATAGTCTTACAGATCCGAAACAGGGATGGCGGTTTTTTTGTGGGCGGAGCCTATCTGGAGGCCGAAAATGACGGTTTTCAAGTAGCAGTCTATGGAGCCATGGAATAAAAGAATTAAAAAAAAGGTAAATTTGATTTTATATTTCAAAATTCTGACTTTATTCTCGCAATTCCGAGATTATATCTCACAATTCTAATAAGGAAAAACAACTCGTCATTCTCTCTTTTCCCCTCGGCTCTTCTAGCTTTTCCCTCTCAGATTTGACAAACTCACTATTTTTGAGTTAAGTCGAGTTATAAAGTCCGAATTAGGAGATATAAACTTGCATTTGCGAGAAAAAAAGTCAGAATTGTGAGATAAAATAAATAAATGTTATGTAAAAATGTTAATAGGTTTAAATAATATTTCATGCTGTAACTGTAGGGCTAATACAATACGTCCCCTATGAACAGCATATGTGATTATGTAGACCTATTGTTTAAATCGAATTTATGCTTTAAAAGTAGAGTAATCATAACAGTTTTCATCCATAGTATGTCCATTTAAACGCTGCGTTTAGCTTCAAATGACGACAGTATTCTATAAAAATTATTTGCATTCCGATCTTGACATCAAAAGGCACAAAAATATATTTTTTCTTTTATTCCATGAATTTTACCCATTTATCTCCACTTGTTCCCAGTGTTTTTCTGCAACCACTATGCGCGCGCAGCTGCAAGTAACTGTGACGTCTACTCTAAATTGGTATATAAAATATGTAGTACGGCGTTACAGAATGTATATTTCACTTCATCCACCTGCAGTTTATTATGTAGAAGTGCTTGGCTGTAACCACTAGATGGGAGTCAAGGTCTTCCGTTACTGCACCTGTCACGCGCTCGTTTAAGTCTGTAAATTACGCACCGAAACATTTTCATGAGGCGTTTTTTAATACAGGCAGATGAATAAACAATTTTTAAAAAACACAATTTTTCAAATCTTACACGGACGATGCATGGTCTCTGATTCCCGCTGTCTGTGAACGAGGCGGAGCTTTTAGAGCAACAACTCTGACGTAATGCGCGGTGACATCACATCAGGGCGAGTCCAGAATGCAGCGCAAATGAAAGAATTGCGGAGACCGCTGTGTATCAAAACACTGATCTGCATATACCTTCAAATCATGGAGCGTATCGGTGACTGAAACGTAAGTGATCCCTGCTGCATTTTTAAAAGCTGGTGATGTTTGCAGTCCGGTCGTGTGGCAGTACATAGTTAACCGCTTGGAAGGAAGCATTGAGGAAAAGGAATCAATTTGCTTTTGATATGCGCACAGTCTGTAATATGGGGTGAGAAATTGTGTGTGTGTGAGTGATGATTAGCAGATCAAATTGTTTTTGTGCTATTGTAAGACATAACGGAGGACGCAATCGTCAATTCAGTCGTCATCGGGCTTTCTATTCCGTCATGAGCATTAACCCTGTGAGCTGTCGAGATGTAGTCAGCTTTTGCTGCTGCAGGAGCTGAATTATTTTGCAAGATGCTCCAATAATGTTCCTGGAGGTAAAACAATAAGCTGGGTCATAAATAGTTGTCTGTTGATATTATTTTCAAGACGGCTTGAACACACTGCAGATGGAAACCTAGACCATATATATATATATATATATAAGGCTTTGCTTTCTTCTGTCAATGCAGGCGGTACAGCTGTAATAAAAAAAATACACTCAACAACATCATCACTGAAGCTACAACGCGAACAATCCCATTAGCCTACTGAACGAATAACTTATGAGCCGGTTCTTTTTAGTGAATCAAAGAAAACTTCTTTTTGATCAATTAATCAATAATTCTTCTTGAATCAAGAACAATTATGAGTCTGAACTGTTAGTACTGAATAAATCTTGCTTGCTTACTGAACCGTAACTTACTAGAGTCCTGTAAACAGTGGTAGCCTACTTTATTAAAATCAGTGAATGAAATTCAGTTGTTTTAGTATTCGAATTTGATATATAGTTAGGAAACATTTTTAAAAACTAGCATTTATGCCACCTTTAAAATACCTGTGAAAATAATTTTTAAATTATGTGTAAACACCTTTTGCAATAATTGTATTACATTAGTTACTGATATGCATTCATGCCTTGTCGTAATTACTGTTTTCGAGACATTCACAACACATGACATTTTACTTGGAGCTGTTCACACCCTTGCACTATCAATGCCTTAACATAGAGCCTATTGAATTTGAGGTGGTCAGGTGGCATAAGTTGTAGTTCACAGAAAACTCCCAGTTCGCAAGTTGTAATTACGAGTTCTACAAAAACGTGAACGCTTTTAACAAGTTGGAATCTCGTAAACACGGTAATTACGATAAGTGTCACCTGGCCCTTGATCCTTAGAAAAACAAAAGTATGTTTTATATAGAATAAATGTCTGCAGTATGAATGTAATCCGGATGTACTACATCTGTCATGTTGACCTACCACCAGGGACGTGCACAGACATTTTCAGGGGCAGGGGCTCAAGTGGAAAAAACGGCACTTCTCGTATTTATTTTAATTTTTTTCTAAACAAAACATTAAATATATTAGGGGTGTGCGATATTGACAAAAAATATATCTCAGTATTTTCTGGGATTTTATCGATAACGATAATTAGACGATATTTTGCTGAGTGTGTTATTGTGCTGGTATCTTAAGGACTACCGTGGACAGCTGACTCCTAAAGTGTTTGATATTCTGCATATTCTGTGTGGTGGTCAGTTCACAGCAGTGGTAAAAATAAATCTTTTCCAATAAGTTTAAATGGATTTTTACCTTTTATGGGCATTTTTACCTTTTTTAAGCCATTTTTTTCTAAAAGTGTGCATCATCTTTTCAGTCAGATTCTTAAATTGAATCAGTCAACTAGAATAATAAGTCATTTGGGCTGTTACCAAGCAAATTAAATCAGTATTGACAAAATTAATCTTTGCAATGCAGAGAAAACCCAGAAGCTGCATTATAAGGGGCATTTAGATGCATTTACACACTGTTTAATGCAGGACATTAATGTTTTATCCTGCAGTTACAACTGCATTAATACTGTTTTGATATTTTAAACATAAAACATTGAATACTGATATTTGAAATTATTTAAAAAAAAATGTAAAGATACTTTAAATGTGAAATTAAAACTGCAAGTAGGTGGCAGCAAGTCACTGTTAATAAGTGAGTCATTGCGATTGAACTGAATCATTTAAACGGTTGATTCATTCAGGAAGGAAACACCATCATGTTGCTCAGAGATGCAAATTGGAATCATATTTGTTGGCGAAATAGAGCAAAAACAGTAAATATTGTGTCAACAATGTAAGTGTCTTAATACCAAATTCTTGTTTATTGAACTGCTGTATAACTATTAATTATATGAAACTATATGAAATGAAATAAATATATACATTTCTGCCCCCATATCTTGATTTTTCTGATCATTCTAAATGCATTTTATTAAACTGAATCATGCAGTGAAAGAACGTTCACCGGTGTAACATACTAGACTTCCTATTGCCTTAGCTAACTTTAGCTAACTTACATGGTAGCTCTCTCATGAGTCATGGATGTTAGTAAGACAAATTAAATATATTTGCCTTTTGTCTTTTGGATAATTAGCTGTAAATTCGAGGCACAGGTAGCTTAGTCTTTTGTTCATCACCACTCACCTCCACAGCAAGACAAACACAACTGGAAAGGGAGGGAGGGCTTCACTTCAGCGGCTCTCTGTCTGTCTATCTGTGATGTGCCGATCAATGTGTGCTACACTGCTGTGCTGCAGAGACGCGGGGAAAGGCATTGGAACTTGACAGAGTTAATAAACCTGACCAGATATTTTGAATTTTTATTTGTTTGACAGGGAAAGCTGTGCGCAAACAGAAACATACACATGTACACATACATATATTCATTTATATAAAAAAAAGGCACTTTCTCTTGAGGAAGAAAAGGGGGCAGGTGCTCTAGCCCCCTTTGATGTCTGTGTGCACGTGCCTGCCTACCGCTGTTAGTTGTGTTATTTCACTACCATTCACAAATCCTCTCCCTTGGCCTCATGGGATAGTAAATTATCCACTGAATGTGCACTTAAGAATCTCACTGATAATAGTAGGTCATCTGGGTATTTATTGCTTACTGTTTCATGAGTACTGTGACATACTACTATGTTCACATACTGTTTTTTGGCTAAAATATAGTACTGAAGTATGCGATCTGGGATGGCGCCAAGTTTTACGTATGTCACATAACTGGATGAATCTTTGATAGCTCTGATGACAACATTTTGATTCGACAAGAATCGACATCAACCCTATGTCGTAATCAGCCTATAAAAAGATGCAAGTGTTGGCACCTTTTATGTCATTCAGTATGTTTTCACTGTAAAAACAAGGGCCTAATTGTCTCAAGGCTCCTTCCTCAGTACTTTTTGTAGTAGTTGTTCTTTGTAGGATTGCCTTTTGAAATGCGACCAGCTCTTGTTGTTACATGTATGAAAAGTTCACTGTTCTTTAATATTACAATCAGTACCTGAATTAATGGCACTATTGACTGGTGGAAGATGCCAAACACTCACATGATGCACCAAGAACAGTCCATCAAAGCCTTCCAGTGAAAGATCTGGGTCACTAATGCAAAGATTAATTTATTTGTCCTTGTTAGAAGAACTGGAGGATCTGGAGGACAACATTTATTTGTCCTTGTTAGGAGAACTGGAGGATCTGGAGGACAACATTTATTTGTCCTTGTTAGGAGAACTGGAGGATCTGGAGGACAACATTTATTTGTCCTTGTTAGGAGAACTGGAGGATCTGAAAACTAGTAATTAAGAAAAAAGAAGTGAAGTAAAACGAAATTATATTATTTTTCAATGTCATGCGAAAAATGAAAACTATAATGAAAAGCCTGTAGCTTTGTTTCTATTCTTGCAGAACATTTGTCACGATATAAACCGATCGAACATTAATAGTTTATTCCACCATCTCTATTCAACAACCTCTCACTGCAAGAGGAACTCACTGGCGATGAAGCCCGCCGCGATGATTGTCTGTAGCGCACACACGTGCCATATGTGGGAAAGAAACCAAGCTCAGAATCTATTCTGAAATGTTTAGAATACGAGAAATAGAATTTCGCTCTGCCAGACGAAATGATGTAAGGTCTAGAGATGAAAGGAGAGCATGCGTGGGCATAGAATACATGGGGGATGCGGGCCCCCACTTTTAATAAAATGTAAATTCGTCCCCGGCTCTTTTTCAGGCAAGTGTGATAATGTAATGGTTTTCAGGGGCCAGTGTGAATAAATCTAGATTTAAATTCGAAGAAAAAAGATAGTCTATGCATGACCTGGCATTTTATTCGTATCCAAAATGAGGAGATGTGAACATTAAAGGATTAGTTCACTTCCAGAATAAAAATTTCCTGATTATTTACTTCCCCATGCAGATAGCAAAATTTGTCTGGCCCACCTCTGGGCCACATCTTTGCTTTAGTTCTGGCCCAATTCTGGCTGTGTCCCCGGCCCAAAACTGGCCCACACACTGAAAACAGACACAAACAATTTCCTCTGGCCCGGATCCGGCCAACAGCGTGTAAAATAACTCTTATTTATTGATGTGGCCCAGATCTGGCCTGTATACTGTATTATTTTATTACAGTAAACTTTAAAGGCAGATCTGGCTGAGACTCGGCTTGGTCCTCGGGCCAGATGTGGCCCAGAAACTGCTAAATGTAATTCAGCACCCAGTCTGGTTGTTGGGTGAGGGGGTTGGGGGTCTGTTGGATTATTTGTTAAATATAACACATAATCGTGAGTCTGATTTATCCAGGCATTACATTTCTTAACTAATTAAAAGTAAGAAAAATAAATAAAACCTGTTAATTAGACCAGAAAAAAGGTATTATTACATTTGACATTTCTGTCCCCCTCACTTCTGAAATGATGACTATGCCGCATGAGAGCATGGATAATCCTGTTCTCACCCAGGCAGTGACTCATCACTGAAAGGAAATGGCTGTTCATTATGATTGTGATTGCTTTAATTACAGTTGATAGGAATCCAATCAAAACAGAGATTAAATGGCAAAAACTCTTCTTTGATTTTTTTTTTTTTTTTAGAATTATGGTTCTTTTTTATTTTTAGACTTTGCTTCAGTGAACTTATTGGAGATGTAA